CTATTGAAGGACCTCTCAGTAGCAATGTTCACCCTCAGCCCAGCACAGACCCGGGATTGGAAGATATCGTAGTTGAAGCCACAGCCATAGTACCTGCAGGAGAGCAGGCCGATGCTGTAGAGGTATGTGCATTGATTTGAGTACCAAAACAAGTAGTGAAGTCTTTTGCTTTACCCAATGTGTTACAGTTCTATTTGAAGATTTCAAGCAATTTGTGCCACATATTTATATATCTTATATTTCTTTCTCTCGATTAGGATTCATGATGGATACAAGTTGTTACACCCTATCTATTTCTTTATTTGAATCAATACAAGTCTATGTTAGATCACGTTGCACATAACTTTATTAGTTTATTACTAGACTCCATTCAACATTACAAAGGTGTTGGTCTAATGGTGTAAGGCCGCGCTAGATCCCCAGGATGACCAAAAGGTCAATAGTTCGATTCCTGGGAGCGGCACTTGTTGGGCACACCCCGAAAGAGATTAGTTCCTTACCCAAAGGTGAGGGGATACCTTGGTAGTACAGAAAAAAGACCCCATTCAACATTAGAAAATATTAATATGAATAATTTGTGTGCATTGGAAAATAACTTGCTCCCTTTGAATGTGCAGCCCATTGGAAATATTGCTGAACGATTTCATGTTTTGTGTGTGAAGGACAGTGGTGTACTATATGAGGATCCTAATATTCAGGTTTTCTCTTCATTTTTCTCCTATGTTCTATAGTATGTTTTTATTTGAATGGTGTCATGTATACATGCAGTTTACTTGCAAAGACCTCTATTTGTGATGATTTATGTTTGGTTCAAGCTTTTGTTCTTAGTTTCTCTGTGTGTATATATACTTGAACAGATTGGAATTAAATCAGAATGGAGAGCTCATCATGGGCATCTTGTTCTTTTCTTGGGAAACAAGATTACTTCACCTCTGGTCTCTGTTCAAGCTATAATATTGCCTCCCACCCATTTGAAGATGGAGCTCTCACTAGTACCAGAAACTATACCTCCCCGGGCACAGGTGAAGAACCACTGTTATCGTTATCTTTTTCTTTCAAATTTTGTTAGTTTTGTTAACATTTTCCCTCTTTTGGTTGCATAGGTGCAATGCCCACTTGAAATCATTAATCTCCGACCAAGCAGAGATGTTGCTGTTGTTGACTTCTCCTACAAGTTTGGTAACAATATGGTACTTAAATTTACACATGTATTTTATGCTCCTAATTTGACAAATCTATTATTTCTTTCAACCTGGCTCAAACCAACTATTTAGGTTGGCCACTTATTTTACATTCATAAACAAGAGTTATATTGAGATGTCTTTCAAGAAGTGAACGCTATTGGATCAAATGACAAAGCCATTGCTAAGAAAAAGATGGTTTTTCCCGGATGAAATGGCTATTGCTATATGCTCCAATAACGAATCATAAATTAGATTATTATTTTCTATTATATTTTTTATTTATATTTGTTTTTTCATTCTTTATTATATAATAAAGAATGAAAAAACAAATATAAATAAAAAAGAGATAAAAGATATAAAGAGCTAAAGAATTGGCTAGGAAAGCCTTTTTGTGTTTTTCATGGGAAGTGCTTAATTGAAGTTTTGAATTTTTAAAAATTGTGTTCGTTCTTATGTATTAATTCCTTATAATTGAAGAAATTGTGATATGGCAAACATGGTTTTAGTAGTAAGAGCTTAAACTTTAATGAGAAGTTTAATGTTTGGAGAAAATAGATTTTATGTAAAGTTAAAAGGAGGGTTTATTGCAACATTTGGCATACAACAGTCATGAAACCTTAATTAATGAATGTTCCTTTATGTCGTTTCGTAGGTCAATGCCAAACTTCGACTTCCTGCTGTCCTAAATAAATTTCTTCAGCCTATATCTGTATCTGCTGAGGAGTTTTTCCCTCAATGGAAATCGCTTATTGGACCACCTTTGAAGCTTCAAGAAGTGGTACGTATTCTGCATTATGTACACAATGAAGTTTGTGTGCTCCTTGGCTAGCTTGTTCTTTTGGTCATGCAGTGGTTCATCTTTTTTGTTGGGTTTTCAGGTCAGAGGAGTTAGACCACTTCCGGTGCTCGAATTGGCAAACTTATTCAATAGTTTCCATTTGACAGTTTCTCCTGGGCTCGTATGATATTCAAAATTCCTCTTATTTACTTCCTCGTTTTTCTTATATATTTCCCCTGAAACTCATTAACATCTATTAATTTTTTAACTTGCGTCTGCTTTAGGATCCTAATCCAAACAATCTTGTTGTGAGTACAACATTCTTTTCAGAAAGTACAAGGGCAATGCTCTGTTTGGTAAGTATATATGTCAAACCACATACCATGCATTCCAGTCCCTGCAAATAGTCATGTATTCTTTAATAATCTAATATAAAATGGAGGGGAAATGAATGCAGCAGAACTTTTCGAGACCATTTTCTGTTACATCCTGTCTATATTGGTTTTTCATAAAGAACCCCCACGTGCAGACAAGGACAGTATAGGGCATCTTTTCCTCTCCTTCGGAAGCATTGGGAGTTTGGAGGGGCTGTTTTTTTAATTGATTTTCAATGTTAAACTGTGTTAGGTTTATCTATTAGTGAGTCATTCATAATTGAATTTAGATGATAACACATGTACTTGTTTTAACATTTTACATAAATGACAATGCAGATGAGAATTGAAACAGATCCGGCAGACAGAACCCAGCTACGAATGACAGTTGCTTCAGGGGACCCTACACTAACATTTGAGTATGTGATTTAGTTTCCTATTTTACAGCTTATTTCTGTGCCAAGATAGCTTTTTTCAGGTATAATTTGATATGTTTGGCAAAGTTTGGTTAAATTGCTATGGAAAAAAACTTTTCTATGAGAAAAAACTACTTACAGAAGCTAGAAGTTTTAAGCTCATGTAAAAAAAAATAGATTATTTTTAAACCAATTGCATTTTTCCTAATTCACCCCTTCAAAACTACGGCTACCAAACAATTATTGTTGTTATTATTAATATTTACAAAATACTTCATACCTTTTTTCTTTTGCAATTTACTAAATCTAAAAACAGTTTTTTTTTACATATTCAAATAAAAAAGGGCAATCCAGTGTGTGTGGCTTTCACCTAATGGGGTCTGGGAGGGTAGATGCATACAAAACCTTATACCCTCGAAGCAAAGAGATTGTGTGTTTCCAGGATTTGAATCCATGAGCTCTAGTTTACAAGACAAGCAACATTATCATTGCACTGAGGCTCACCCTCTATTTTATTATCGCTTTTCAGCAAACATATCAAACAGAGAATTACTCTGTTTTAATTGATTATGCATATATTGAAAAATTGCAGGCTGAAGGAGTTCATCAAGGAACAATTAATAGTTCTCCCAATAGTGACCAGAGCACCAACTCAAGCACCTCCAGTTGCACAAGTGGTCAGTATTCCGGCAGCATCGACAGATCCTGGGGCAATGCTTGCTGCTCTTCTATGACAATTCAAAGGTGATTCGGTTCATGGCAGTTTTCATTACATGCTTGTAAAGCTGATCTACACAGCCTAACCCACCCATGTGTCCTTCAAAGCTAGTGTGGGGTGGATAAACCAATTCTTGATGCAAGGGCTGGCGGAATTAAAGGTGAGCTTGTTTTTACAGCTAAGTTGCTACTTATCAGAGCAGGGATATATCCATGTTATATTGGGCATTTTTTAGAGATTCTTTCTGCATAAAGTGATTGTCCTTTAAGCGAGATTCTATGTTATTTGGGTATGAGGGTTTTTAGTTTTCTCACATTTTTTCCCCTTTCCAGTTTCACTGGATTGTTTGTGGTGCAAGTGATAGAGTGTATGATAATGATGCCTCGGATATGACTATTTGTAACAGTTTGAATTTGTTATTCTTAAGTTATTATAGTTGCAATAATAGTATGTTGTGTGTACATATTTTTGCATTAAAATTCTAAGTGCTTCAGTTTGAAGAGATTGTGCATTATTTCCTAAAATCTTACTGTACCTATATACGGTTTGAAGCTTTACAACCGATCTACAAATTAAAACCCATAAATAAATTGTTAAAACTAATGCAAGTATTTTATTCATAAAAGATTATATTCAATAATAACACTATTAGTTAATACTGCAGTATATTTTTTTCATTCTGGTTTGAGATATTTAACAATTAGGAAGTCACTTAGGACCATAGTTAATTCTAGTTGCCAAGACTGGTATAAGGGGTGCTTCTGACAATATTAACTCATTAAATGAAAGTCTTGTACATACATTAATTAAAAAATTTCTAACAATATTTTGAAATTATTGTACAAGTTATCTTTAAACAGGAATATTGGAATGAATGAGTTGATATATGTAATATGATATGATTGGAATGAATGTATTAGAGAGAAAACTGTAATAACTGTAATATGATATGATTGGAATGAATGTATTAGAGAGAAAAAACTTACTCCACATCTTAACCATCAATTCTAGGGAAATCCAATGGTTTAGATCTACCCATTAATTCAAATCATTGGATTTCCCTAGAATTGATGGCTAAGATGTGGAGTAAGTTTAAGTTTAAAAAACTTACTATTGGAGTCAATGGATCCCTCATCAACTCATATTATAGAAAAGATGGTAAAATCACATATTAGATGATATGAACATGTCCGATAAAAAAAGAAGATGATATGAACATGTGTAGAGGAAACTATTAGAAACATATAGTAAATAAAATAAATGTTACTCCAACTTGTAGTGTAATAGGAAAGTCAATAAAAATCATAGACAAACAAATAAGAAAAATTTAGAGATAAGTACTATTTGATCCATATTGACATTAAAGCTAAGTTGTTGTACACGTTATCTTTAAATAAAGCATATGGCTTGCCGATCAAAAAACAAATAAAGCATATGGCTAGAATTTGAAGAGGAGAGTAAAAAGTGTAAGCACATCAAATTAAGATTGTTAAGAAGCCAACCTCACTTGACTCACAATAAAATAGAAAAGATTTAGTAATTGCTGGCTGTGGGGTTCGAACCCACGCGCACTTATGTGCAGAAGATCTTAAGTCTTCCCCCTTAACCACTCGGGCAAACCAGCTATTTTGTTGTATAAGTTGAATTCAACCTTACAATTATATCATGATTATTTGCAGTTTCAGGTATCACTGCCTCTAACAACCAACACAAACACATTGACTTAATTGCAATTTACATAAAATTAATTCTGTACAGGCTGAGGAACACCGCATTATTATTGTTATTTTTTCTTTGCACCTTAGGATTCTAATCTTGTTTGATTGGACAGATTTTTTAGATAAACTCATTAGTGTGATTGAGAGGTGTTTCAACTTATTTATTAAAAGGTGCATTCTAACTTTCCAATATTGCGACTTAGCTTGCATAAAAGTGAAATGTCTATATTAGCTCTCAAATTAATTACTCAAATAATAACTTTTTGTTATTATTTGAAAGTTGTGAATATAGTTTAAGACTTCTATAAGAAATATAGAAAATTTATAAAAGTCGGGTCCGACTTGTGGGCACTAACATCGAATACATTAAGTAATAAATGATGGATGATATAGTAACAATATATAAACCTCTTTATTCGCATATGAATTAAAACTTTTATAAAATAAGCTTCATGTCATTAAGTAAAAGAATACTGTCTAAAGATTATGTCCTATAAAAATACTTGCTTTCCAAAAAAATTGCATTTAACTTGAAAAATATACATTGTATTGGAATAAAAAGTTGGTTGTTAAAACCCTTTTCTACTGTAATTATCAGATTACAATAAAATTATATTTCATTAGAAAATAAAGAAAATTATTTACACGCTCATTTGTCGGTGAAATTTGGCTTTCACAAGAAACGTTATTTCTTTAAACATAATCCTTAACATTAGTCCCTTGAGCATCAGATTTAAAAATAAAAATAGGAATTAAACATTAGAAAAATTAATCTAGCAGTTCTTTTTTTGTTCCTTTTACTTGGGGTACTAATTAATGTTCACCGAAAAATAAATCCATGATTTATTTTTAAAATTATTAACGTAACTAGAAGGAAGCTAGATATTAGAGTATCAACTCTTCCCAAAAAGGCATTAATCTAGTAATACAATGGTTCGATTCCTAAAAATGACATTTGTAACATGAACAATTATAAAAGAATGATACCCTTGGAAGTACCAAAAAGAGTATCAACTCTAACGCCGGATGCATTGGATCCGTTTCGACCAAAATTTAAATGGCATAACTAAGTCAAAAATTGGAATTAATTGAGGCACCAAAATAGTCTTAAACAAAACTTCAGAAACAAGCAATCATCTTAAACACTTTCATGTCTACTAAGGCAAAAATCAAGGACAGACACCTCATGTCCTTAGCACAGTCATTGTAATAGGCGAAAACTAACACAAACTGAGTAACTAATACATTATCACTTGCCATGCTTAGCCTTGTTATGTTGTTGACGACCACCTCCAGAGTTGAAAGGCCTGGATAAAGCAACAAAAGGTCAATCACAGTCCACCATGTGCTATAAAACAAAAACACACTTCAGAAATGTTAGGGATCATACTTCTTAAAACCACCACGGCCGGATTGTCCACCGGATTGTCCGCCAGACTTCGGGGACTGACCCTTGAAATTACTGTTAGGAGACTTTCCACCCTTCTTTGCAGGGTGAGGAGTAGCTATATGTCCACCTTTCTTGCCATCTACTTCGCAAATTTAAAGAAATGTGAGTGGTGAATAAGAAAATTCCACTTTATGCAGCTAAAGGAGATATTTAAACATACATAAGCAATCAAATTTGAACATCCGATTAAAAAAATACTGAAAAACATCATATGTACATTAGATTCACACCTTTATTACTAAACCAAGATTCGATAATTAGCAGGAGACGTCAACGGAGAAAGACCAAAGTGGGAAACATTATGATATAAAAACATTACAGAGATGAATAAACAGTCTCACCAGTCTTTTCAGGAGTAGCATTTTTAGCCTTTTTGTTAGAGACTGGAGTTTTCGATGCAGAATCATTGGCCCTTTTCTTTCCTAGTTCCACCTTCAAAACATAATGTCAATTATTGAGATCGTGACGTTAAGACATCACACAACTATAATCATAAGGCACTATTATAATGCATAACATACAAAAGAATTAATAATAGCAATTAATCATTACCTTCTTAGGAGGGGTCTCTACATCATCTTCACTATCATCTTCATCATCGCTATCACTGTCAGCATCATCCAACTACAATGAACAGTTTTAAGTTACAATAAAGAAAGCTTAAACATCGGCAAGTAAATCAAGACAACTTCTTCAAAACAAAGAGCCATGATTACAAATGCATCCACTATATTAAAAAGGAAAAAATCATGGCAAAACATGAAATTAATCAATGTTAACATTGATACCTCATCATCAGAACTTCCGAAATCATCGGAATCATCATCATCAGAATCGTCATCATCATCCTCTTCTTTCTTGGGATCAGCAATCTTAACGTGTTTTGCTGGCACATCACCCTTAGCATCAGCCTTTTTAGGTTCTGAAACCTTTGCTTCTTCAGCTTTTATTACAGGTTTTCCTGAAATCCAATAATTATTAATTAGTGCTCTATGTAGGAATATGTACAGCAAACAATAAATTTAAGGTTGAGTAAGCATCTACCATTTTCTGCGGCGGGCAATGGGATATCCTCATCAGAATCTGTTGAAGTTAATACGAAAAGCAAAAAATGAGCAACCAACTCAGTAAACCAAAAAAGTAATCACAAGTTTAAGAGAAATGTTATAGGCTCACCAAAGTCATCCTCATCACTAGTGCAAGCAGAAAGACATCAGAAGTTAAGGAAAAAATGGAGTATGAAACCATGACAAATATTAAGCTAGGAAAAATGTGAGGATGGCTTGTTTCAAATTGTTTAGCCACATGAACACATTCAAGGGAAAAAATATCCATAGGAATTTAGGATATTAAGAAAAATAAAATATTAAAAATACAAAATTCAACTAAAACAAAATGAAATAGAAATTTCAAGTAAAACAACTTAATAATGTATATCAAAAGTGTCGAGGATATAATTCTTCATCAGGAACAAGTGCCTTGTATCCAGTGAAAAAGACACTGGAACTCTTTGAACTGTGGGAAAGCTCAAACTCCTTGTCAAGAACAACATCAAGAGATGCCTGAGGGATTTTATCCCGGGAAAGCGTTCCCAAAACAAGTTTCTGTTCACCAACTTTCAAGTGAAGAATCACAGGTTCATTTGCTTTGTCTTTCTTAGACTCACCAAGAGCAGCCTATATAGCAAACAAACAAGTCAGAATTTTGTCATCACCTAAAATAACAAATAACAGCACAAAAAAATTCACCTGAGAAAGATGAACATAGGCCTCAATTTCTTCTGGGTCTACCTTAACAGTCTCACCAACCTTAACCTCAGTACCTAAATTAAAAACCAATGTATTCAGATTACATTAATAATTAATAAATACAAATATATCTTCACATTACAATTACAGTATAATGAGTCATAAAACATACACGTGAGTATTCAAATTTCAAAGTAGTGAACTAAAATCATAACACATTCGCGTGTACATCACATTATAAAAAAGAATGAAAAACTAAAAATATATGTAAAAAAACATGATCATTACGACAAATAAAAAAGAACAGTTTTACAAAACGATTAGACGAAATAACCAACATAGAAAATAGCAGTTGTATTTGAATGTTCGAAAGTACATGGTTATAGAAGTATAAGCACAATATAAAATAGTAATGAAAAACAGGAAAATGAGAGATTAGAGAGTAGAGAAGGTTACCCCAAAACTCCATTGCCGCAAGAGAGAGAGAGTGCGATTAGGGTTTTAGGATGTGAAGGGTTTTGCGAGTGAGGAACGAAGTTTGAAGAGAGTTTATAGTGAATGAAAAATGGGTTTTAGGTTAGCCGTTGAGGTTTTTAGTGGGCCTATAATTTGGGCCTGCCTGACACATTTTTATGGGCTTAAGTTCAGGACCTTGTTCAAAAATATTTTTTAAGAAAATGGATCATTTCTCAAAAATCTTACTATAAAAGGAATAATTGTTTTTGGATCAATTTATACTATTAAATATAATGAGTGATTGAAAAATAAATTAAACAACTTTATATGGGGGTAGTATGCTCTAAGTATGTGTAGAAATGATTTAAGAGAATCTAATTCTTGATTTAATGATTGGCATAGGCTTAATTACTTTTAATGTTTGTAATTCAAGAATATTTTTTAAGGTTGAGATTGTCCTTGGTTCAAATCATGATAAGTCCATCATGTCTTATTGTGTAAGCAACTATTATGTCTCATACCCTTTGTTTTTTCTTCAACAAAGTTCACCACCGTGTACCTTTGTTGATATATCAACATTGAATGGTCGTGCACAAACAAAATTAAATTTGATGGGTGTATTATAGGGCATTTCCTCAATCAAACTCAATTTTCTTTGTAAGGATCTACTATCCTTAAATATATCTCAAATCTTGTCTAATGCTAATAAAATTTTATGTCATGTCAATTAAAATTTAAATATTTATTATTTTTCTATTTTTATCTTAATATCATTGGTGTGAGACATGGTTTAGAACATCATATAATTGTTTCTAATATCAGCGTAAAACTAAAATTTAATCATCTAAACACATAATTAAAAGTAGAAGAAAAATTCATCTCACAAAAAAATGAAGCATTGCAACTATTAAAGCTGAAAACTAGATTATATAAAAACTACTCTACCTAATTACCTACATGATATTACCCAAAAAAAAACATTTTACATTTGAACGGCTATGGTAAGTTGTCTATAGAATTCACCTAAATTATATTATATACTTATCTGGAAGGATTCCTCTCTAGTATTATATAGATTGCTATTTTTACACTTTTTTTTAGTTTTGTTGTATTGTCCTTTATGGTATGAGAGGATCTTCCCCCATGCTCATCAAGAAAAGAATGCAACAATTCCCTTAAAATCTTATGAACTTCTTTTTCACAAGTTATTTAGTTACAAACTTGAGAATTGCTTGTCATGGAAGAAATAAACAT